TGGAAAGATGAAGAATGATCAGCCTGCAGGAGAGGAGTCAGACATTCAGGCTCCATCAAGCCAGGGATCAGTCCTTCAACCTAAATCCCAGTCTAAAATCACAAACCCCGGCTTTACTGTCCCAAGATTTTTCCCCAGAGACCTACAGCACCTTCAGTCTCTCCACAGCTGGAGATGATTAAAACTAATACTGTATGTCTAATCCTAACAAATGGGAAACAGATACTGTAGCTGTGTAAGTTTCAAGCTTTTGACTGCCTCAGTAATTGAAAAAGGAAAAGCCCCAAAGAGGATTAGATATCCAGATCTATCAAGCAGCATATCTAGATCAAACAGATCTACCAATATGGCTGTTCAAATATATATACACACACACACACACACTATATAGTGCTTATAATAAATCTGAACCACTATGACCCGTGGCATTTAAAAACATTTAAAACCACCTCAGTTTCATCAGTTTGCCTTGATACTGCTGTATATCTGACCTTGAGTAATGTGTGTTTGAACTTCGGCTCACAGCACAGAGATAAATGCTCATTAGATCACAGCACAAAGCAACTGTTTGTGTTCTACTAACATGCAGGGCGCACTATAGTCGGACAGCAAAGACACACACACACACACACAACCAGCTCAATTGTCAAACAAACACTGTCACGCTCACAATCAACAGAACCAAAACACATGTTCAATCTTGCACATTTTAAGTCATACACCAAGCAGACAAGGGAAGATACAAAGGTCTGACCACACACTGACACACAGGGACACATGCACCCAGCTGGACCACAACACACCGCAGGAAGTACTGGCTTGTTGTAGTGAGTCAGTCTATATTGCCACCTACAGAGCGCCTCTGTAAAGCACAGAATCACTCATCCTCAATCACAGCTGAGTATTTAAGTGGCCGTCAGACAAAACCTGAAATAACAAGTGTATCAGCACACAGCTTGTCAGGGCAGTTTACATCAAACAAAAGTTTCTCCGTGACTGGCGATGAATTTTTTTACACAATCCAGTGCAATGTGCCAGATGTATGTTTTAATATGTTTTTTTTTTTTTAGTTCTCTCACAATGCAGAAAAATGACATCCCATTACTAGTTTTTGCAGTTTTTTAAGGGACCAACTGAACTGAAAAAAGTTTAGTTAAAAACCATTTGATTTGAGTGTATTGTTGATGTATGCTATCAGCCAATAATGCAATGCACAAAGGAAATGGAGGATCTGCTCTTAATTAGTATTGTGTATATTATATATATATATATATTATATTATAGTATATATATATAATATAATATATATAAATTATATATTATATTTATAGGTACACACAATTTACAGTACACTTAGTATTCACTATAAAGTAAGGACAGCATAAATGTATGCAGGTGTTGGTCGTGGGGTGGTATCAAATGAGTGGACAGACAGACAGACAGACAGACCAGACAGATAGATAATAGATAGTGATGAGAGGCTGCAGGAGTGAGCAGTGTTTAGGCCTCATTTGGTCAAGTCAATTAGAATTTGGTCTGATTTACCACCTCCATACAACAGGCTGACATTATTACACATAATGTGGAAAAGAGGCTTGCTCAAGAGCCATGTGAAGCCATATAAGGGTGAGTTTAGTACCATTCAACATAAGACAGCTGACATAGACAGCAGCAGCAGTTGCAGAGCGTTGAGGGAGAACGTGTTTAAAAGAGACACTGACCTTACAGCACCCTGGGGGTCAAATCCCACTCCGACCTTGGGGCACACACTCTCTCTCACACACACACACACCACAACACACACACACACCACACACACACACACCACACACACATTTTTAATGCCAACAGAATTAGACTGAAGCTCATGGTTCCTCCTGTTCATGGTGAAACTGTGCCAAAGCTCTCGGTGCCCACACCCACCTCTATGTAGCCAGGCAGGCTTGCAGCTGATTGGCTGCACGTCTGGGTCTACCAGTAACACTGCACCTGATAGGCGCCTACAGTCGGCCACTAAAACCAGTGCTTGCATCCTGAGACAGCTGGGTCTGGAGCTGTAATAAACACCCTCAGCTGATTGGCTCTCAGTGGGGAAGGTGTGCGCGCGTGCATGCGCATGTGGGATTTTGTCTGTGGCGCGCACACGACATAAGGTATCCTTAAGAGCATCAACCACATGGTGCTTGCTTTGTAAAGCCAGCGGTAACAAATGTGTGCCAATTAAGCATCACGACGCTTATAACAATTCTGCACGTGTTAGTCTGTTTCCATGACAACACCTCTTTTCCTCCTGGCAGGAACAACCTCCAACGGTGACACATCACAGAGCGAGCTGGAGTCAGAGATGCTAGCATCAAAGCCCCATGGCTGTGGAACCTTAATGTGCTGCTCTCAGACCAGCCGCTCCTCCTCTTAAAGGTCCTGCTATTCTGTCGCCAACGGTGAGCTGCCGGTCAATAACAGCGCGTGTTCCTCGGTCCCACCTTGTGCGCTTGGTGACAGGCACACCGCAGGCCTCTGGAGTGCAGCTGCGCGATGAGCCGCACGTGTGCCCGTCAGAGTCCTGGCTGCTCTCCCCTATATCCTTTAATATCCCGTAGTAATGCGCAGCGGAATCACAGCAGTCTGCGGTTTATTGTGCGGAGAAAGAGCAACGCATGCTTCTGCTTACCTCATCTTCCTCCCCTGCCCGTTTTGAATGGAGATGAAGAAAGGTTTCTGCCTGGCCTCAGTGCTTTGTCCTTGGAGTTGAGTTCTAGTTTAAAAAAATGATGCCGGATCTTAGCAGCTCCGGGTGTTTAATAAAAAAAAAACAACAACAAAACAAAAAATCACAACAAGCGATGCTGCCAGCGAAGCCTGCAGCCGGCTGGATGTGCAGATGTTGAGGGTGGGAAAAGGCGACAAGGGTGTTGGAAAATGCTACACGGGATGGCCACAGTTTTCAGGTCTGTCTCTTAAAAAGAAATAATTTTCTCCGGTGTCGTGTCAGGCGGCCGGTGGTTCGGTCGAAGCCATCTCAGAGGGCGGCACGCGCTGTCCGCAGGACGAGAAGCCGGGCGGAGTGGCTGACAGCGGCCTCTGTGGTGCCATCTTTTCCTCCTTCAACCACGGAGCTTATGGGAGGCAAGGAGGCGGAGAGAGAGGAGGAGGAGGAGAGAGAGGAGGCAGGCCTGCTGAAACATTTAAGTCTCGGGTGGTTTGCTGCACGGTAGCGCCTCGGCTTGGTGATGCAGCTACCGGTGCAGGCAGGTATGGAAAAACAAACGCACACAGTCTTCTTTGAGAATAAGTTAGGTAAAAATGAATAATAACAATAATAATTAATGTGTCTTATTTTGTGTCTAAAAAATAACACACATGCTGTTCTAGAAGAATCCGAAGACTTTTATTCCCAGCAAAACAGGTTTCAGAGGAATATTAGTGATATGCTTGGATATAAAATACCACGATTCCACAAATACTTTAAGCCTTTAAGACCCTGCAGAAATGTAGTTATATTATGGTGGCGTGTGTGTGTGTGTGTTATTTACTTCCATCTGATATCTGGACTAAAGTCAACACACAAAGTAACATTTTCTATGGTATTTGAGATCAAACCAATGTAACATTTCCATAATATATTTACTGAGTTTAAAGTTAGCTGGTTTGTCTTCAGGCCCTACATGCTGCTGTACAGAACTACATAGTATTTTATGTAGAAATAGACACGGTGTGATACTGTATATGAGGGGACAGACACACACAAACAAACCTGTCATTCGCCAGGATCAACTAGGTAACATCTGTCTTTGCCTGCAACAGCCAGCTGTTGTTTCCTCACATGGAGGACAGACAGACTCAGTTAAATCTCCACTGAGGACCTGAGTTTAAACTGTGCTGTCTACTGTTTAGTAGCCAAAGCAAGTCTCTCAGGTTCTTTACTTGGCCTGAAAAGTCTCCATTGGAGTTTTTAGCCCCAGGGGCCCACAAATCTATCAATGTCTATATTTGAGTGAAGTGAAGAGATAAGTTGGGTGGGTGCTAATAATGTAAGGGTGTTTTGCATCAAAACAACCGAAAAGGTTTCACCTAATATCCTGCAGACCACTCCCTGTGGATTACATCATGTGTTTTTCTTGCCCATATGTTTGCTTTGTTCAAAGCTGGCACAAGACAGAATCACTGCCAACAAGTGTTTCATTATGATACAATGTATTAAAATGTATGCCTTTTGTTTTGCTTTGATTTATAAACACAGCTGTTAAATATCCCACTGCACCATTTTATGATAATGCAGGCTCATGCTTCATCTCAAGTATTCAAATCAAACCTGTAGCAGTGTCGCCTCCTCACCAGCAGAGGTTCTCCTAATGTCCAAAGAGCACAAGAATTTCCACTGTGGTTCATACACTGGTGTGAATCCACTCTCAGGTCATACTGCCTGCATATTGGCTCAGGAAACATTTGAGTCCTTGTTGCAAAAAAACTAAATTTATTTTAATTAGTTTATCTGGATTTGGTGCAACTTTAATCCCCACGTGATGTTACCATTCTCTAAGGATCACTGGTATCCCTGTTCGAGTCTATGGCCTTTATCTCCACAGGAGGGCGCTGAGGCTGTGGACACTTACTTCAATATGGCTCACACAAGTCATTGATATCACTGTTATTATATTTCCAAACAAGGCTAAAAGAGTTTCATTGTCAGGATTTATGTTTTTTCACTTACTGTGATGCATCTAGTCTGGAAGCAGCATAAATCATTGGAACATTACAAGCACCTGCTACAATAATGGGAACAATGTGCTGAGTAACAATAACTTACGAGAACATTTCTGATACAATTTATCACAAAAAGTGGGAGTGGAAAAGTTGTACAAGCCACAGCTCTATTTTCCATAAGTCATTTGACTGTTTATCCAACTGAAAAGGTAGCAGCACGTGATTTCCACCCTGCACATAAACACACTCACACTTTCATGATTATAGTTTTTTTTTATTGTTTGTCCTGAACTAGAATGAGCCTTTTTGACTGGTACATCCTGTGTTGAAGTGGAACATCGATTACAAAACTAGAAACATCACAGCACATAGGCATGAGACAGAGTCAGTGACACACGCTCGCCGACGTCAGTTCCCCCCTCGTCCATCACACAGTCACCGCTCAAAGACACCTACAAACACATATTTACTTAAAAACTCAAAACTTCACATACATAGTGACAGAGAGAACGTTTACAGCAAATACAGGCATTCAATGAAACAATACGCAGGTACTAGCATGAGAGAAATGGATCAATGACTATAATGAGGCTAAAAATGCTTTAAAGCTTTCATACTATGCTTGAAATAAATAACCCTGTCATAAAACACTGTATTGATTTACTCAAATGTTTCAAAATGCTGTAAGTGCTCAAGTTGTTGTACATACACAATTGCAACAAAGTCAGGATGAACAACAAGGAAGATTGTTGCATTCATCCCCATTTTAAAATCAATTTCTTGTTTTTTCACCATTGGAAAAAAGTCTTTATTTGCAGTTTCTGTTCAAGTGGTTTATTGAGGCTTCAAATAATAAGTTTGGGGTTTAGTAAACTCGATGGCAAGGACACACTTGCAGTAAATCAGTCGCTATCCGCTTGCCTCAGTAACAAATCTGAAAGTACTGGCTTGGTGATTTGAGGGGGCTCTTGTAGCTGGATGTGTCCTGCGCTGAGTTGTGGCTGCTTGTGGTTTTCTGCAGGTTTAAGGTGAAAGTGGGGGTTGTTTTCCTCGCCTGTAGCTTGTTCCCCCCCTTTGCCTGCGGTGTGGCCATGGGCCTGCTGTTGGCAGGCACTGTGGCCGCAGATTTGGCGGTCTCAGAAGACCCAGTCTTTCTTGCGAGGGGGCTCAGATAGATCTGCATAGTCACTAAGTGAAGTGGTGAGATGAGGTGAGGAGGGTGAGAGATTAGAGGGGAGGTTGGCCAGCGGGAAGAGGTTAGAACGGTCAAAGGGTTGGAGATGTGGATATTTAAAGTTAAGGTTAGGAGTTGAGGGGGGAAAAAAGGACAAAAAATGGGGGTGCAAGGGTGAGGGCAGGCACACAAGTCATGGTGAGATGTGAAAAAAATGAAGGATGGGCATAAAATAACAACTCAAACACAATTCTGTCAACCTTAAAGAACTAAATATTATATTGTCTGGTATGAATATATTGTTTGGTATGAATCCTACCTTTGCAGTGCGTCACACGCCTTGTCCCTGCACCAAAATAACACACAAACAGAGAGATTAGATTCATTTTCAGTACATGTAGCAATCAACAGCACTGACATGTCAGTCTTTTGCTAAATCACTTGGTCTGTTTTTTTTTTATATACAGGCTAAGTCAGCAGCTGTTTCACATTCTTGTTATGAGGCTGAATTGCTGCCAGATACAGGCTGGAAAAAACATCTGCAGGGATACAGTGAGAGTGCTCACTTACCTACACTTACTGCAGCCTCCTTGGACTTGCTGCTGTTATAATGAGAAAGAGAGAGAATTCGCCATAAGAGACAGAGAGAGACTCAAGAGGGAGAGAGAAACGTAGAAAGTAAAGAGATGCAAAAGGTTGCCTGACAAAAGGTTTTCGTAAGAATGAACACATCAGTTTCAGGTTGACAGTTCAACGTCCCATGAGCTGGCTTTGAGAATGTTATCTTCCTCTGTGGTTTGAGGTGTTTTTAAAACAGGATGACGGGGTTGGAAATAACCTTGATTTGATTTGAGAGATCTGATTCCAACTTGATCGGCCAGGAATAACTGGGTCGCCCCCAAATCAATGGAAATGTATATATGGCCTGGTTTACACAAGAAGTATAAAAATAAGACTGACATTTACGAGAGAAAAGGGAAGGATTTTAAGATATAGGCGGTGAGACTGTGTTGTGAAACTACATTTTTAGGAATATATTTGTCTGTATAATGATAGACAGGAAGATAACACAGAAAAGGCATTTTTCTTGTGTATGGAGGTTTAGAAATGCAAGAATAGCTTCTTACCCTTCCTGAGGTTTCTTACAGGTGGAGGCTGCAGAGGTGGGTCGTGATTTAGCGGTCTTACATGGACTGTCCTTCACACTACCTAGTGGGCTTTTCACACCACTGGAAGGGAAAAACAAGTACTGTAAGGTCATGGTGTTTTTTTACCCAGATGGAAATTCAATGACTGACATGAAACCCTCTCAGTTCACTGGAAATGACAAAAATGTACAAAAGTTTCAGCCATGAGGATGAAGAATTGAAGAAAAATATGGGAGGTTTGAGAAAGTGCACTTCACTGAAACTACAGAATTGTTTTAGTTCAAACTTTTAAAAATCACTTGGTGGTGCCTTTGTGTGCAGTTTTATTTTATTTCAGTACTATGGAAGCAAAGCCATGCAAGCAAAATTTGAATCTTCTAAATAACTGAATACCTAATTGTTGAATCACTATCACATTTAATATTGATATTTAAATACCATTAAATTGACTACATTGAAACATTTTACTATGAGAACCATCTATCGAGTATTCCCCCAGCCCATGGTATGTAGTTTGAATTTCGTTTTTTGGAGTGTGCAGTTCACTTAAAGTATTCTTTGGGGAAATTCAGCATTATATGTTATAATCAAAATTCTCAAATTTTCTGTGAAGTGAAGAAATTAAGTTTCTCAGATGGGACTGGTGAAATTCAAACACTAATAATTTAAGATGAAAAATTCAAACTTGAAACCATAAGGCTGGTAGCCCGGACACCTTGGAAACTTGACTTCTCAAACTGTCACAATGACCACTTTTGTTGGATGATATATTGTGCAAGAAATAAATGTGATAAATTATATTATTGTCATTTTAAGACCCTTTTATGCCACTGATATAATGACACCCTTTAAATAAAAGAGCAATGACCTCTATTCAGACATTAAAACTGGAATGTAAAAAAATATTAAAAATTAACAGAAATTGGACTCTGAATGAATATTAACAAAAAACATTTGGCACAGAGACTTATTCACTCTTTAACAGGCAATATAGTAAAAGTAGGGAAAACCCTGCTGTTTGTTCTGGCATCATATTGGCTAACATGTTGGTGGTTTTCTGAAACAATAAGTCGATATTGTAATTATTACATACGATAAGTTAATCATGTAATTTTTGTGACAGACCTACATTACATTAAATGTTCACATTTTACAATATTTAGTTGATTATAAAATTCGAATCATTGTGTCTTTAATTAACTTCCATACGGCAGCTTCTGGCTCAATAACCACTTTGAACCCTAAAGTTCCCAGTGTTTCCCTTAGGAACATTTATATTCAGCTAAATAGTTTCCCACTCAGTTACACACAAGCCTATTCTGCATTTTACTGTAACATCTGAGATGATTTTGTATTTTCACAGGTGCAACATGTCAGATAGCAATTATAGCTTATAGCTTATGCATAATTTTAAACACATTTCCCTGGAGTTGAGCCTGACATATTTCTGGAAACTGCTTTAAAATTAAGTGCTGAACAATGCTTGGCTGCAAACACGTAATTATAATGATGGAGCCACTGAAGTGGTCAGTGGGTTGTTTTACTTTGAATTCATGTGATAAATACATGCAAAAAACAATGAATGAAAACAGATGTGGTCACTTCTGTTTGAGAAAAGAAGGAATTGCGGACAGATGGGAAGCAACTGGAGGCAACAATAAAGAGAAAAGGCAAAAGGAAGCAGATATGAATATGAGAGAAGGAAGACATAATATAAGAGGGTTAATTAGAGGAGAGAAAAGGTGAGATGAGAGTCACTTTTGCCAATAGTGATGATGATGATGATGATGATGATGATGATGATGATGATGATGATAATGATGATGATTCTCACTTCATCCTAGCATTGAACGGACAGCTTTAAGTGAATGGAGATTTCTCTCTGTGAAATTGTATCAGCACAGCCCAGATATAGCAGTGGAGAACCTAGCATGCTGTGACTAAAGCTATTTAATGGCAGTAACATTTGAAAGGTAATTGAGAGGAAGACATCTGCAGAGAATGGTTTGCTGCTTTATTGCTTTGGAAAAAAAAAAACGTTGGAATATTATTGAGCATCCTTGTGCAGTGTTTCTTGGATAATGGTGAGTGTCTGCTGATTGCTTTTGCACATTTGTTAATGAGAACTGAAGCTTTAGGTCTGATACTAAAGCTTTATTGTGAGCTGCTTCATTAGAACCATTTTCCATTAATACTGTGTGCAGAAGCTCTCTCTTTGCTTGGGTGTGTTTCATGACGAGTGCCGTCAGATATGAGAGGAATGTCATTGTGATTTGTTTTTCTCCCATTGAGAAATCAACAATTTAAATCTTTTTGTCAAATGTTTCATATGATTTCTAAACTAATCACCTATTACTACTTCTAATAAAAACATTAAAACTCTGTTTTATATTACATATAGATCGTGGACTGTCTCCTGAGACCAACCTCCTGCCTGCAGACTGAGCAGCAGTGTTTTACCTGCGGGGCGGTGTTGGGCTGTAGTTCCTGGCTGTGGAGCTGGAGGGCAGTGTGGTGCTCTTCTTCAGGGAGGCAGTGCTGGAGGTCACCATGGGCGGTCTGGAGGGCAGAGCCAGAGACACTGGCCTGGCTGTTGGGACACACACATAAGGGGGTTAAGTATGATGTATGTGTGTTTGTGTGTGGTGGATAAAAGGTTGTTCTTATGGACTTTCTGTTTGTGGTAAATGTTGTGTCTGCCCTCTTTGTTGTCTGTACAAATAAAAACCCTTGATGAAAATAAAAATTGTATGCACATGTTTGTATGTAAATACATAAAGTATAGAAATATTAGGACATGATATTCTGGATGTTTTTTTCAGGCTTTTAGGTTCTGAATATTTACTTTGCTCACCTTTGGCACCCGATGGTCTCCTGCCAGCAGCAGCAGCTGCTTGGTACTCTTCAGAGATGTTGAGCCTCTTGAGGACGTCGGCCAGAGCCATCTTCAACAGCTGGATTTCATCTTCCTGCATCTGCATCCTCTGCTCCAGATAGGTCAGTCGGTCAGCCACGTCAAGGCCACTGGCTGCTGAACTGCGGTCATCTGAAGGAATGATAGTAAACAGGAAGTAGGTAGGTAGGTGTGATAGATAGATTACGGATAGATGATAGATAGATAGACTAGATTAGGAGGCTAGATAGATAGATAGATAGATAGAAGGATAGATAGATACATAGATAGATAGATAGATAGATATGGATAGATATTGAATAAGATTAGATAGATAGATAGATAGATAGATAGATAACATGTTTACGCCAGTACACGGCAGTCATGTTGTATGCTTTTCAATATTACATAACTGATGGCATGCATAATGATAGTGCTGCCCATTAAAATAAGCAGAGTAATCTGAGGCAGCCAATAAACATTTGTTAGCCTCTAAACGTGTCTAAATATGTTTAAATATGCAGATTTCCCAAAGCAAAAGAAAGAGCAAACACAAAGAGCAAGACCTTGTTAACCAACTGAGGGTGACAGAGACATACACACACAGAAGGAGAGAAAGATGCCAAAAAAGAAATGAATGTGCAGCTGACTCATACTGAAACCATATCACCATTTGGTGAGAGAAAATATTGAGTATGAAAGAAAACGATCCTCCAGCCACAAAGTAAAAAAGTGCTATTCAACTGTCACTAAAAAGCCTTTAATGTAAGAGAGGTGAAGAAATAAAAGATACAAAAAAATACTTCTTGAGCATTATTTATTGATAAAATTCTACCATAAATGTTCTTTTAAGGCTCATCTCTTCAATCAGAAAACAGAATAAGCTCTTTAACATCCCCTGTGCATATATACCAAAAATCAAGCTAATGAGGTCACAGCACAGCTGGACACAGCAGATCATCCACACTGTCATCACACTGTCAGCAGCATGTAAACAACGGTAGCTGAGCACAATCTCCAAAACACTTTCACTGTAACTTCTCTTTCAATCAATTTTAACTTTTCCTGGCCATCATCAATCACAATAGTACAGAGGTGGATACCGTGGGAGGCACTGGACACGGATGAGCTGTCAGGGTGTCTCTGCTGGCCGGTGGGGCCCTCCTCCACAACACCAGACGTCTTCCTCCTCTTCCTCTCCTCTCGCGAGCACACTCTCTCGCTCCTCTTTCCTCCTCTGGTTCCAGTCAGACAGGCCAGCTCTCCCTCCATTTGATTTTGATCCACTGGCTGGTGTCCACTAAGATCTCATCTCCTTTGCTCCACTTAGGTCACACAAACGCACTCACACACAATCACACTCACAGAGCAGCGTTTACAGTGTGTTGCCCGCCTCTGTTTACAGCATCCAAGCTGTATTACAGTATGTGCAGCAGGAGATGAGGTTGCTGATGTTTTGATCCTCCCACGTTTCCTTGGTGGTCGCCTGACATGCTCTGGGACGCAGTGATGTGTATGACAGCGTTTAAAGCCCTTTTGCTCAGGGTGTGTGCTTCTACAAAGGTGGGGGTGGGGTTTATAATGCTTAAAAACTCAGCAGTCGTCCAATTCAGCCTAAATTGTCTGTACGTGTGTGGGTGTGTGTGGGTTTGGGTGTGGGTGTGCAGAGTACAATGATAATCCCTCAGACTGAGCCTCTTTGACCCCGCCCCCACACATAAGCCCCATGTCACTATGAGAGATGGAGACACAGAGAGGAAACAGCAGAAATAAACCTGAAATGTGGTCTGTTGTTGTGTTGTGCTGCAGTAAACAACTTGTACATCCACAGAGTTACTGTGCAGCCACTGTGCAGGTCAGTGCCAGTAATAGGGAGGATTAGAAAACTAAAAACCAATGCATGCTTTAAATGCACTGAAACAGTAATGCTTTTTAATATAAAGCATTCTTTCCCAGCAGTTTTCAGTTAAAACTGATTATGAGCAAAAAAGGTATTAGTAAAATAATCTATGCCCATGTGTGTATTTTTTACTTACATATTTCTGCAGTTGCTATAATAAGAGATAGCTAAATGATGTATAAATGAAGAAATTGTTTGCTAAAAGTTTGATTACAGTAACAGAATAACTAGTTTGATAAAAATTGGATAAATGATTTATATAGTTAGCCAAACGTTATTGTTAAATGGTTGAAATAATTTGCTAAAAGCCTGATGGATAAACACTAAAATTAATGGAGAAATGGAAGGAATAGTTGGCTAAAAGTAATGGATAATTGAAAAACCCATCTTCTGTTGCTCCAAGTTGTAGTAGTATCTTAACTAAACAGACATAAATGTTGTCAATTCAATCATATGAAATAAATATTTTATTTAATCAAGATTTTAGTGTCTATTAAGCTTCAAAAACCTGCTGTATATTTTTCTAAAATACAGTTCTTCGTAAAATGCTTGAGATCTCAGTTTTTCCTCCTAGCAGAGATGATCTGCTGTAGGCAAAGACTTTCAGTATAATCATTCAAGCATGGAGCCAACAGTAATCTCATGAAGAGTGGTGACTGTGTAGGCCAGTGATTTTCTGTTTCTCCTCTTATCCCGGCCGTGACATCATCCTCGTGCCACCTCCATACACCCCATATGGGATTGGGATTAGAATAGCCTATAATCCCAGTGCTGTAAAAGGGAATTAGCAGCCCAAAGCTCAATCTCTGCACTAACTCAGCTATACAAAGAACAGGCAGGCTCCCTCGTTGCCTTACGTGCAAATGTAAACACACGTACAAACATATGCATTAAACGATGCCTCTGACTCACACATTCACACATGTACACACAGCTGGGCTAGCTGTAACAGTTTTGGAAGTCATATGCCTTTTATGCATACGCAAAATTAAGATACATTAAGGCATAGAGAATCAGAGGAGTGTTTTAATCTCTGCTCGCAGATGGTGTTTCCTGAATGAAGGAATAGCATCTGTCTGCTTATATCAGCACCCTGCATGCTGACACATACAGTGTGCACAAGCAGTCCTTCACATATTAGTCCACTGATATCCCTGAGGGGACAGGGCATTTCCCTAAATCTCTTCAGCTGACGCACATTCCGCAACACCAACAATTTGACTGTGTAGTTAGTATCATTGGACAGATATGCTGGACTAAGTGCTTGTTCAAATAAAGCAGCATTGTACAGGTTAAGTGAAAATCTATAGTGCCAATGTCAAACAAGACAAGAGGAAAATTAAATTTGGCTTTTCACTCTCTGTATTCATTAGGTTATCAACAGGTTTTGAAGGGCGGTATAAAGTTCAAAGTGTAGTCAATGATTAGGACTCTTTCAGGTCAAAACCAGTTGGCGTTTTAATCAATATGGCAGAATAAATAAAGACTTTTTTCTCTTGCTGTCCCTAAAAGTGCCTTAAGGAAGTTTTCTTTTCTGTCATCAGGTTTTGAAAGGAAAAACAAATCTTTTTTGTTTTTGAGATATGTAAAATGTCTTTGTTAACTTTTCCCAGAGGGAAGCATGTTAATAAAAAATAAATCATATGAAGTCCTGATACAAACCTATTGTGGCATTAAAGTCCTTAGAAGTTACAGCACACAAATGAAACACTGAATTAGTTTCACTTAGCCTGAAACTAATTCACATCGCTGATTTCTGTCGATGACTGTTACAGAATGTCTGCTTTTTTTGATATAGTGGAGGTTTTTCTAAACAACCTTTTTATAACTTACTTCACCTGTTCTTTTCCTTGTTTGAACAGCTCTGTTCGAACATGCAAACCTGTGCAAACTTCACATATGTATATATACACATCTCTTTTTATTGATTAGAAGTAAAGATGCACTTCATTCATGCAGAACACTTACTAAAGAGTCCTTGGTAGTATTTTAAGATAAACATCTCTGACAATTTAACTTTTTAAACATGTTTTTTAGGCTGAAAGCACCTCAAACAAAACTGCTCCTAACTTCACTGTATTGGGGTGAAGTCAGAAATTGCAGTGAGCAAATAAAACCAAACTATCTGCATGGCTTCATACCACAAGAGCTAAATGAGGAAATATCTGTCTGGCTCAGCTCTGTACCTGTCATGAAGTCAGTGTCAGGTGCCAGCAGTGAGTCACTGTGGTAGCTCTCCTTCAATGAGGGCCTCCTCAGCAGGCCATGGTCCGTCTCCTCCATCCCCAGACCCTGATCCAGCAGTTCCTCCATGTGTGAGTCCCCCTCCAGTGTGCCTGCTGCCATGCCCCTGACAGAGTGTGTCGAAGTGATCCTGTGTGCTTCTACTAATGTCTCCTACGCTTCACTGCTGGGTTAATTCACCTTCTCTAAACCACCATTGGCCACCACCTCTCGCTTTCCCTCCCTCTCTCTCCCCCCGCTGTCCCGTGAGGAGCGTATGGAGGCTGAAGGGTGATGGGTGATGTCACTCAGAGGACAGATTAAGGAGCTGGTAAGCCATCTGAAGCTCAGGAGAGGACAAGGCTATGAGAGAATAGGAGTGTGTTGTGTATGCATGTGTGTGTAGACAGCGGTCAGGGAGGCCTCAGACAGGGAAAACATCTTGACATTAAAGGCCTCAAAATAACTTCCTGACAGATAAGTTGCATAACTCCTGTCTGCAAACATCCAGCTACTGCTTCAAGGAGGAAACGATGAGTAACAATTACTGACCTGTGTGCTGAGAAAACACACACTTCAGACAAAAAAAAAAGGAAAAAACACAGTAGGGTGGGACCATGCAATTTGCTGTTGCATGCAAAGTTGCAGACAAGCACACAATTACACTCCCCAAAAGAGCTTACATCAGGCTACCATCCGGTGTGGCCAGCCCTGGTGTACTGTAAGGATGATGAGATTCAGAGATTAGGGAGCAGAACTTGATTAATTATAGTCATCAAGAGGACAATAAGCCGGACGTGGTAATTAGACCAACAGAGAAAGACAACAGGAGCAGATGAAAAGCCAGTTAGGCGATTGTGTCGGGGTCTCCCCCAGTGTAAGCTGGCATTGTGTCTATTTTGCATTCGCTGGATTGATTTTTTTTTCTCCAGCAGATGCTTCCCTTTGCTGATGTGTCAAAGCTTTTTTTTGGCCACATAGCAGAAGTGTGCCAAAAACAATAAATTACGATGTGGCAGAGAATATAGCTCACATTTAAAGGATGATGCAAGGGTATAAATAAGACTCTTAGAAATCAAACCATGACCCAATTTTAAAAGTTTCTTATTATCCAAGATATATATATATCCTGTATACCTACCTATATAACATACTTGTACACACATTCCAGTATATTATATACCTGTACAAGTATGTGTCTACACACATTCACTGTATATATAACATTCTTATTCTCAGTACTCACTCATGTAATTCTAGACTTGCACTAACCATATACAGGTATTTTACTGTTGATTGTTTTTATTATGCATAAGGTCCTGCTGTTTAATTATTTACATAATTATTGTCTTATCTACCTTGTTGATCGTTCTTATGCAGTTTCTCTTGTGATTCATTTGTGACTTTGCTGTCTGAGAGCACACAAACATACACAAACAGTGGATAGCGTATAAATGAAATATGAAATAAATTGCAGTAAAGTACAAAAGTAAACCATTAAAGGTTCATTAACAATTAACATTTTAGGAGGATCTATTGTCAGAAATGTTATATAATATTTATAGTTTTCATTAGTGTATAATCACCTGTAAATAAGAATTGTGTTTTTTTACAGTTGAATAAGAAATTTTTTTCTATAGAGGGAGCGGGTCCTCTTCCACGGAGTCCACCATGTTGAACCACCATGTTTCTACAGAAGCCCAGAACTGACAAACCAACTTGGAAGGCGAGCTGTATTCAGTTGGTTGCAATCTGCAACTTCACTGCTGTAGATGGGATTAAATCCTACAGACTTATGATTTAAAAAGTGTTCATAAATACATATTACATGTGGCCTTCATGAAAAAAGGCACCTCACTGGATAATAAAAAAAAGGACATAAATATAGAATAAATATTTACCAGTATGTTCCATAGTAACCACATTGTTTCAACCTACAGTGATAGGTTCCTATACACCAACAAGCAGCCAATAGTCTTGTAGCAGACTGCCACACCTGAGAGGCCTCTGAGGTCAAAGTGTGTAGCACGTTATATTATGAAACACTAATCGTCTGCTTTGGCCTCTGTTATCCATGTGTAACAGACACTAAGGCCCTGTGATGTATGTGCGAGTGTGTGCACGTCTGTGTGTGTGTATGTGTGAGAGAGAGCTGGACATTCCTAATGCTCTGAGGCCTGAACAGGGATAAAGGCCAAAGACAGATAATGACTCTGCTGACAGGGGACATGTGGGGAGAGGAAAACATGGGGGAGAGACAGGAGACGGTTGAAACATGTCTCCTGATGTATTAAAATTACCAGATGACCAAGCAATGTGTGTGTTATTTGGTACCAAAATGAAAAATGTCAAAGGTTTGACCCTGACCCATGCATGCTGTCTCACCACTGACCTCCTGTGGAGATTGTATAGCGTAACAGTTGCTTGCTAGAGAAACTTCACAGACTTCCTATTGATCACATGTAGAGAGAACAGCTTCCCTTTGACACAGTATGTTATATAGAATAGAAACAACACAGCTGAAGAGGGTTAGTGCATACTTTGGAGTTAAATGTAATAAAGAAAGAGTCACACACTGAACTTTCACAAAGGACTTAAAATTTATAAATATTCTTTCAATGGAACATTAAATCAGTAGGGATGTTATATAATTCTTCCAAAAAAATCCAAGAGATTTTCAGAGAGCATGACAAAGTGACAATAATCTGATACACACATTGCTTCTCTACTCCAAAAATATCTAGACTTTTTACTGTATATCCCCCGTTTTCCAAATATATCAAAATATATGTCGACAATAAGCATCAATACAGACCACACAGAAAGCAGAATCTCATGGGTTGGTCGGGTGCTTTTGTGTTGTGACTCATTGAGTGAACACACTTCCTGTGTGGCATCAGTAAAGGTCACTCAGTGTTTGACCCCTGCCACTGTGGACATCCTACGTTCACAGAAACCGACTTCTCCCGAGTGCTGGCCCTGCCTTGTTGTTGTCATGGTAACAAAGGATGCAACCGTGTCCATGAAAAGCTGCTAGGAAATTAAGTTACATAAATAATAACATACAATCTACTCCATGCGTTTTTCAGGACTGGCCAGCACTTGGGAGGATGACTCATGGCAACTTCCTTATTCAGCTTTCTTCATCTCCTTTTCCAGGAAGTTCCTGCATCACTCTCAGAAGCCGAAAAGATGAGGATGCAAGGAAAGAGGACAAGGAGAGGAAGCTGCCGAAGAGCATCGGGATGTGGCCATGAGACTGTTCTGCACACATTGGATTCCTGCCCTCTAGGGGACAAACACCGTATATGCACATCTGGGAGAAAGGCAACGGTAGCCAGCTGATTTGGATGGTGGGAGAAGCTGTTCAGCAAATCCTCAATTTAATCTGCTCATTAATTATGTTAAAATTCTTAAATTTCCTCTCAGCCCACTGGAAAACCTTGTAGTTTTAAAAGCTTAAATGAGGGACTGTACAAAAATGACTGGGGGTTATAAAAAAGCAAGACCCTCCACAGCAATATTAATATTTTAATTAACATTCCCCGACTGCGATGCCCGCCCTTTAATATCTCAAAATAACATCTTTAGGGAAAACAGGCCCAGGCCCAGGCGCCGGGTCTTTTAGTGCTGACAGACTTGAGCTGCGCAATATTTGCATTAAGCAAAAATCCAAAACATGTAACTTTACCTTTTCTCCCTGCCCCACCCTCCCTAGTAATTTTCATACAGTCTCTTATTCCTGACTCTTACTGTAAATCCTCTATAATATCGGGCTAAATTTAGACAAGAGAAACTGGTCTTAGATCAGCGCCTCAGGGGATGTTCTACCGAGAGCCCAGAGGACGTCCTGTCCTGTCTCAGGTGTACAGTCTCTGTCTCTCCCCTAATTGGACAAATCAATAAAAGCTCAGGTGACCATCTTGCCACGGCATTCTCCCAAACGTCACACTTAAGGTCAGTCAGGTTAGGCAGGAGAGCTAGAAGTCGCCTCTTCCCATAGGTCTCAGTTCAGATTTGACTTTTTAAGTATCTCAAAGGGGAATCGAATCAAACCTGTGTCTGTAATTCGCGGCCACTTCTGCTCTCCCATCTGCCAGGGTGTGCTTTGGTCTGGTCTCCCCCTGACAACTAAGTGATATAAACTAAACAACATTTACATCTCTGTCAACAACCACCACTCAATCATTTAATTTCTAAACTTATAAGTTACAAATAAACAGAAACCATTTCTATCCTGGAGCACAAAGAAACAGGATATAGTTAATCAATTAGACACAGTATTTCCAAATAAGTTAAATTGAAATCTTAATATATTGTATTGTTTACTCCATTTAAATATTTTTTTTTTCTTACTTTAAATATAATTATTACAGATCTTGCAAAAATACTACACTGTGCATTGGCTGTCTGCTTGTTTAAAGAGTGCCCGGTGCTTCCTGGGTTCAGATATGTACACTTCATTAGAAATCACCTAGAAGGGAGTTTCTCACTGCCTATTATCTACAACCTTAAGTCATATAACGGCATCAAGTCCCTTCATTCTCCTCTTTCTTTCATTTGGTCAAATCTCAATTAATCCTGCGATGATTTAAAACTAATTTGAAATAAAATAAAAAATAATGCATATTCTTTTCTTGATTTGTTAAGTTCATTTTTCCAAAAATAGTAAGTCTAAAAATATATTGCATATGCCATCTTAGGAAATCGACATAATAAAATATTCTTACTAAGGAGAAATTGTAAAGTAGGAGAATATATATTACCTCTTTGAAGAATCTGGGCGTTAATAGAAATAAAAAACCCAGTGATCAGGTTTTGATTTTGTTTTGGGTTAGGATTCATGCTGCTCAAATAGAGAAAAAGTTAAAGATGGCTTTAGAGTGTTGAAAACTTTTACGGCTTATCCAATGTTGAAGAACAGGGCGTTTGCTGTGTAGGAAAGCAATCGGGTACTCTTTATGTTTTTAAAAAAGGTACACACACTCCGACACTACTCGTTTTCTGAGTGACAGTACAACACTTGCAGGTTAAAAGGCAATGAATGAGTGTGGTCTGAAATCCACCACAACTCAATTAAGTATCAAATACCCTCCCCACGCATACCCATACTCCCTCCCCACGCATTCCCACCCACAAACCCCCACCCTCCCCCACCCTTCAATCCACATACACGTCTAGCATGGTGCTACGTTTGTCCACACAGCGCGTCAGGCCTCCAAGCCAGGTGCCTTTTTGAAATCTAATCACATTAACAGTGTGGATACATACATTTATATACTGTATATTTATATAAGTATGTCAGAGCTGATTGAAAAATCAAATGGAATGACTCTAGTAATATATATATACTGTATATATTCCATGGGATTCAACAGGTTGTGCATCAGGTAACATGACGAACACGCTGGCCAATTCCTCTACTGGCAAGAGAAAAGAAATATACAGTTTGCACTGACAAAAGCAGCCATGACATCCTTACTGTTTCCTTCTCTACGAAACACACACACACACACACACACACCACACACACATATAAATGATACACAGTATGTTCCCCCCGTTAAGATATTAGTAGCTAGAACAAAAACCAAAACATAACATGTTTGTTGTAATTAAGGAATGAATTAGTGCAATATAATAAGGGAAGGGGGCAGAAGTGCTGACAAGGAGAAGAAGTACGAGGGAGGAGACAGGGACTCTGGCTTATGTGACATCCTTTGGTTTGTCTTCGGAGGGGGGGGTGGATGTAGAATGAGAACGGTGGAACAGACATTTCTGAGACATTGCGACTTTTCCGGACGCAACGCGAGCAGCTAGAGCACAGCAGATTCACGACATGAAAAGTGCACTAGCCAGGGTGGAGCCGAAAACTGAAAACTGATATGAAACCATTATTTTGGTCATTTTTAATTTTTAGCATAAAATGAAAAAATTTGTTTTTCTCTGGGTTTTGGTTGGTCTATTTTGTGAGATTTTACTGAATAAACGATTCATCAATAATGAAAATAAATCATTGGTTGCAGCCCTAAACCAGCGCTTTTTGTCCAGTGATCATGTCATAGCTGTCAGTCAGTCGGCAACACAATCCTTTTTTTTCTTGGGACTACATTACACCCGCTCAACCACTTCCTAGTTGTATGTGGTGAGACTAGCTGCCTAGAGCTCTACCTGCAAGTCATAAGGCAAGTCAAAGGGAACATCAAAGGTGAAAAAATATAAAGAAAAACAACCAAAAAACGATGGCCCTCATCTTGATAAACCTTCACAGGGCTCAGGAGTGTTTCAACTCTTAGACGAGCCTCTCCAGAGCAAGGCTCCTTCAAGTCAGGACTGTGGCTGAGATGTTAGTTAGAAAATCCACTGGGGCTTTTGTCATGCGTGTGTTTTCCCTAAATAAAATCAGTTTTAGTGACCTGATCCGCAGTTTAAGAAGCCCTGCTCTAGATTCTAGTTTGGTAAAGAAAGATCTGTCTCGCAAACCCCCTACAGGTACAGTATTTTAGTTTGTGCCGAGCATCACGCGAGATGAAAATCTGTCAGTGTCAGTGCGCTGTGGCACACAGGAGAGAGGACGGGGGGTAGAGAGCTCTGCTTCCTCTAAAGCTGCTTGTTTGGTTTGATTGCCTGAAAGCCTTCTAAAAAACCATCACACATACCCACATTTATCCATTTATCCACACTGACAACACCCACTCTCCCACTCTCTCTTTCGCACGCACACACATGTGAGACGAACTCAAATCAGGAGACATAAGACGACACTCTCCATTAGCTGCTCCTTCACCCTGGCTGGTTGAACGCCGTTAACATTGAGCTGACAGTGCAGGCTTGTGTTCCCCCGGAAGCACCTTAGCGCCGGACCATTCCTGAGCCACTGGCTTACAAATGGAACAAACATGATTGTTGTGCTGAGATGCTTTGGGGGAAACATGGTCCTGACAGTAGCCCAGTTCAGTCTGGTGTTCAGAATTCCTGGCAGGCACGCAAGCCTCCATGTAACCAAGTGGAAGCTGAAAACTCCCAACCTGTGAATGAATTCTCCCTTCCTCACTCTTCCTAAACCAGGAAATATTGGTGCTCTGACTGAGATGGATTTATCTATCACATTTTAACTCCTCTGTAGTCATCTAAAGGGATCTGTGCTTCATAATGTGTCACAAACACTTTTTGCTTCATCTGTCCCTCTCCAAAACCAGCCTCACCCAGTCATCCCCCTTCCCTCTGATCGTGAGCGTCCCCAGCAGAAAAGACAGGGGTGTTCAGTCCTTCAGCAACCCCCCACACCTCTGTGCAGGAGGGGGAGCCACGTTATGATTAATTCATGGGCGCGACACCCCTTCTACCCTCTACTGCAGGTTCTTCAGGATGCGTCCGTAGCGGAAGTCGTAGACGTGCCGGCAGAGATACACCAGCTCGGGGTCGACATCTGTGGGCACACAGCGGTGGGAAGGGGGGGCGAAGTCGGGGCGGCAGGGCACCATGCTGGCGCTGCCAGGTGGGGCGCCTTCGGCACGCCGCTTCACCAAGGCACAAAATCTACCCATACACACGCAGAGGGAAAAAAAATCAAAAGGTGACACTACATTTATTTGTGCGACGGTACCGCTGTGTAAAAATAACATAAGCAACTGGACTCAAAATGAATATTTACATACGATGTCTGAGCAAATGCTCATGTCCTAGTGCTCCCAAGAATTCATTAACAGTTGCAGTGTCACTGATGTGTGATAAGAAAGTCAGAAAAACAGGCTTCCAAATATCTCAGAAGCTGAGGTGTTAATTAAAAGAACGACTGCAACCCTTGTAAAAAAGACTTTCTGCTAACGACTCGCTGAGGTGTATTTCTGTCTGTTTGTGTGTGTGTGTGCGTGAGTACCTACCTACAGTACTGGGCTAGTGGGAGAACGTAGCATCTGTCTTCTATGCAGGCCACACTATTTTCATCCTGATGCCGAGAGGCGAAAATCTCATTCTGAAACCACAGTGGGTGTACAATGTCACATCCACACAAGTGTGTTGGCTGAATACTGGAGAAATTACAACACTTTGCTACTGCTAGCACAGTAATTGATCATGTGCATTGGGATTGTGTGTTTCTACGCGAAGTGCCACCACACAAGAAAAATCCTGCTGCACTCAACACATGGTAGACATCCACTGTGAATAAAAACATGAGCAGTGTTGCACGTTCTAAAAGTGAAATTGCTCTCTTCTCTTACTCTGTTTTGTGCAAGACTGAGGTGGCAGAAACATCATCATTTTGGTGCTGCGGTTACAGTAAAGAGCTAACCAACTATCAACAGTTTCAGGGCTGTGAAAGAAACATAATGATGTCTCCAGCAGCAGCAGCAGCAGCCAATGTCTCAAAATATGTGCATAGAAGAGAAAGTTTTTGTTCACCTCCTCTTTGCACATAATTTTATCAGGACACCTCAGTATGTATTATCACTTCCTCTTAATGACTAAATAATCGATAATGACAATATCTCTATTATAGCGCACCAATAAATATGTGATGCAAGTAATGCAAATGACAATACTCGCCTTGATTTAAGGAATTAATCGTTTCGCCCACATTTAAGTATTTCAACTTTAAATTGTTTCTAAAACACTGTGGGACTGCCAGTACCTGCATATATTGTGCAGCTAATGTCACTTTGTTTAAATCCCAATGTTTTCTGTAAAAAACCTATGGGGATCAAAAAGGTGTTCTATATTACACATATACATGACATTATAAAATAAGTAATCATACACACACATACAGTCAAAATACATAATTTACCCATAAAAATGTGAAACATTTGGTGTTGGTTTTACATCCTGTGTCTTTTCACTATAAAAGAGTTTATTGCAGCTATCTTTTATTTAATTCCAGCAGTTTTTCTAGTCCTTTTTTTTTCCAGAGTCTGTTTTTATACCACATTGCCACTTTTTCCCCAATGACAATTTTACTTATTTTATAAAGTTGTGTGATTGGCTGTCTTAATGAAATAAAACGTCATTTGGAAATCAGATCAATGTAAATAAAACTGCTGGAATTACATTTCATAATAATACAATAACAATAGTTTTATAAGTCTCTTGGATTGGATTAAGATTTCATGTTGACATTATATATCTTGTCTCACATGATTAGTTATATCATAACTGTCTTCAATAAAAATATATATATTTTGGGAAACAGGACTAAATAAATAACAATTAAACACTCCATCAGTGTTATCCTGCAAACTGTCACTTAATCACTGGGCAACATTAAATCGTTCGTCTCACCTCACAGTGTGCACTGGGATCTCGGCCTCCCTGGGTGTGCTCAGGTCGGTAGTACCAGAAAAGACTCATCATCAGCTCTCCTGAGGAGGCAAATTGAGACACACACACACAAGTAAACAATTCTGGCCATATGTCCCTTTGTCCATTCATCCATGCACACAAACCACTATATCTATCCATGATCTCCCCCTCCTCGTCTACTTTACCTGTTTTAGGATCCTCCCACAGCGCTGATATCTTGGCAACATATGGGAGGGATTTCTTCCTGGGGCCTGATCGTAGCAGCACAGTGTCTCTGACATGTATCACTTCACCATCCCTCTCGACTCCTTCATAACACTGCCGCGGGGCTGTCTCATCCTCTCCCTGAGACAGACACACACACACATGCATGCATACACACCGACAAGGACAGATATAATTCTCATTATAAAGACAAAAAGGAATCTGTCACACGAAGCTGTGTGGTCAAAACACAATTATCTTCCCCCCCCCAAGAGCTGATTTTTTTTTTTCTTTCTTCCAGGCAACTGCGTGGATGCTAAGGTTTCTACTAGCAGGGTATTATCAGGTAGAGGAATACAGGAGAAAAAGTCCACTAGAGAGACAACCAGAGAAGAAGCTCTGTAATCTCTGGCTTATCTTCACTACTCAGAAACAAACTCACAAATAACCTACCGCAATGAAGACCTCCCTCTCTGTAGGCATTCCAACGGGCCGCCAACCGTTGGTGGCACGTCTGCGGCTGAGTCTCTTTTGTTTGGTGCTGCTGAGGCTTGGCAAGGGCGACGGCTGTTTCTGGGGCAGCCGTGTGCGGCCAATGGACAGGGAGCCGTTGGAGGGCTTGGTGCTCTGTGGGCATTCTCTGGCCAGCTTTAACCTGGCCTGGGGCTGGTCTCGCTCCGACAGGGGGGTCAGCAGGTGGGGTTTAGTCTGGGTGGAAGTGGGCACGCTGGATAGAGGGCAGCTGGACATGGGCAGGGACGGGGGAACCAGAAGGGAGGGGCTGTGGTCACCCTGAGGGGAGGAGTAACCCTCTGGAAAAATAAAGGGTGAAAGTAACACTTTTAAATAATACAGCAAGAAGGCAAAAAATTTCACATTTGAAGCTAGACTGTGTAACTTGTGAAATAACACAACACGTTTGGCTGCTACAGCCTTACTTGGTCTGGTATGACCAACAGTAGCTAGCGTTAGCAAACTTTAGGTCGCAGGTTCAGTTGCTGTTCAGCAAAAGTTAAATCAACTTGTTGAGAAAACTGCATGGTTCTCCTTTAATCAGCTTAAAAACAACCTGCTTATTTTATCTTTTTCATCAGTCTTATTATATATAACCCAATTGTTATGGAAAACTTTACATAAGAGCCAAGAGCTCCTTATCAAGAAATATCAAAGTCAGAAGCCTCAAGCTATGACACTATATAACACTTTTTAAAGCTCATACCAACAACAAAAGACAACAAAAGATGTTCACACTTGCTCGGCCACACAACTAGCTTGAGGCAAACACTTAACAACAAAGGACTCTTTAGTTCTGTAAGTAATAACCCAATCCAAGCTTAACATTGGAATAATGGTTTTCTTTCATTATAACAGCTATACAAAGAAGGCTTAAGATGAGTGAATCAAAGAAGAGACATGAGAATGAACTTGCCATCAGTGGGGGCAAATACTCACCCTGCTCCAGATCTAATTAGAAATGTTGAATGTTGTTTTGACAGATAGTGATGGTTAATGTGGTACTGACTACTTCCTTCCTTCCTTCAGCAATTGTCTGGATTTATAATAAGTTGAAACTTTTCAGTTATCAACTACCTCCATTTTCCACTCACCTGTTTTGATGCTGTGTGTGCATCCAGTGCACCCTGTGCTGAAAGAACAACCCCTGCTGTTCACAGGAGGCATGGCTCTGTAGGTGTAGCCGCTGATCCCGCAGGCGTCACCATAACAGGGCGAAGCCACCGAGTTGCAGTAGGCGGGGTGGGGCAGCCCAGAGGCGTGGGACATCCGTGGACCCAGCAGCTTGGAGCCAGTCATCCGATTAGGGCATAAACTGGAGGGTGCAAAGTTAGGAGGTCGCGAGGCCAGGCTTGCTGACATTGTTCCAGTGTGTGTCGGGTGGGCGATGTGAACGTAGTAGCTGGAGAAGCAGTGTTCGGCGGTGCAGAGGCAGGGGTGGGGGCTGAGGGTCAGAGCTGTGTGCGGGTGGGAATGCGTCAGGGACGGTGAGGTTACGAGGCACTCGCGCTTCACAGAGGGCATGGCTGAGTTAAGCGGCTGATCGTCTGATTCTCCATAGGGCTGCTGGCCCAGGAAGAAGGCTAAACGGTGGCAGTATTCCACTGAGCCCTCTGGGGGACAGCAGTAGTACGGGCTCAGTTCGGTCTCCAGTTGCTCTTCCTTCACTTGTTTCAGCGGGTACGCCAGCATGCTGCGCGACTGATAGCCTGGTTTGGTCAGTCGATGGGTGCAGCTGCCGGGCTCCCACTCCACTTTGGGCTCAAAGTCCGCCTTCTTCTTGCAGGCTGTGCAGCTACTGTGCACGGGAGGGACCTTTTTCCCCTTCTGCTTCTGTGAACGCCCCTTGTGTTTGAGTTTGACTCTGGAGTGCTGTTTTGGGGTTGAGGCCGCAGCAGGAGTCTTGGAGTCTGATGTGATAGTAGCTGTGGGTGCAGCCTTTACTCTCTGTTTACTGGTAGCAGAGGAGCTGGTTAACTTCAGCAGGGCTGCAGCATTGAGTCCAGCCAGTCTTCTGGGGGCGGGGGCATGCAGACTCTCCTGATTCATCCCCCCGATCTCTTCTCGGTTGGCTTTGGCCTTCTTGACCTTCTTAGAGCTTTGGCACAGTTCAAGTTTGTGAGACGCGGAGGCTTTACTGATGTTTCCTCGTGAAGACTTCAGACCTCCAGGGACACCACTTCTGACTGGATATGCATCCAGGGATACCCCTACATTCGTGGGCTCTTCCTGTCTCCTGGCCTGTTTGGCTGTTGGCTGAAGGTCAGTAGCTCTATCAAGCAGTAGACTGTTCACTGCCTCAGCATTGAGCGAGGCCAGTCTTCGCTTGCGAGGTTGTAGGACACACTCGCCATGGCGCGGGCTGTTTGACTTTGATTTGGTTTTTGGTAATGACTTTTCCTCTTTTCTTTCACTGCCTTTCCTTTTTTTAGGTTTGGGTTTGTGAGATAAATGTCGGCGTGCATCCTTTCGCTCCTTTATTTCAGAACGCTCCTGTTCACGGATGCTTTCCTCCAATCGCGTAAGGAGGACATGGCAACTGAGCCCTTCCCCGTCTGAAACCCCAGCTCTGCCCCGCAAAGGATACAACTTCCTGTCCCGTTTCTTGTCACGCCTTCGGTCAAGTTTTCTGTTTTGATCAGATTTTTCTCTCCTCCCTCTCTTGTCATTCATTCTCTTGGCTGGGTCTTTGCTTTGTTTGATGAACTCATGTATCTTCTTTGTCCTGCCGAATCGTAGTGAGCGCTCAGGCCAGGCGCCGCCCATAGCGCCACCATGTGGCCAAAGAGGGCAGTTGTCCCACCACTCAGCACTACTGTCACTCTGCCTGGGGGAACCCTTGTGCCTTGCGTGAGTCATCACATGCTTCTCCACGGGGCCTAGAGAGACGGACAAGTGGTCTAAATTACAGTTTGTCCTAGTTTGACCATGTGCTTACAATGTTCACAATCGACAAAACAATCAGTGATCTCTACAGTATATTATGTTAGTTACAAGGCTTTTAATCAAATCAAGTTTATTGTCATATACAAAATCATCCAACTGGGGATCAAACCCAGGATCTTCTTGCCGTGCTGTGACCACCATGTTGCCTTTTTTTTAAATAACTGGGTCAATAAAGAGCTGACTGAGCTCTAAATATGTTGAACATCTTATAACATCTTTCTAACTTTTGTTTTTTTCTGATCACATATGTATAAAGACGCTAAGCTCAGCAGGCATCAGAGTGTTTTGACCACACTTACTGATCAGAACAAGATGGTCAGGGTAGTGCATTATGGACCAAATAGGGACGATTAACATTATTTGAAAAAAACTTTATTGTCATGACTTAGAACTAGACAAAAACTGGAAGGGCTTTTGTGGTGTTGAAATACTGCGGCAAAAAACAACCTGAAAGCAAGCGAGAGCTAACGAGACACAAGCATAACAAAGATATCGACTATCTTACATAAGCCTTGACTTTAGATTTAAACACAACAACATCTGATGCAATACATAAAGAAGCTTAATGATAAATAACTTTAGCTGAATGTTTTTGTGATCAGACTGAATTTATTTGATCATATGGAGAGCTCCAGCTATTGTAGGCCTGTTGGAGATCCTGTCATTATAACGGGTCTGTGTGTGTTTTTTACCCAGCATAAAGGGAACTGATGTACACTGTCATTCATTCACTGCGCTCGTTGCCTTATCACCTAGTGTGCACAAAGCTGGCAAATAACAGCTTGTTAAGGCCAATTGTTTAGTCTGAAAGCAAAATGTCAAAAAGGCCTGACTACCATATTAAGCTCAACTGAGGAAAATAAGACAAATAAACAAGCCAGCCTATTTAAACCAGGTACATTCACTGTCTAAAATCAAGAGGTAAATATCCATATTACATATATGACACAACATACTGTACTCCCTAAGCTCATTGTGAAACCATATAGCAATTAAACTCTATTAGCAACAAATAAGTAGCTTGGGAGTATTTGTAAAAAATACTCCCTGAGCTCATTGTGAAATTTCAACATAAACAACCAAATAAGGACTCATGTATATATTTAAGCAACACTTACTTAAGCAATGTCCATGTACAGACTATGACTTTACTTTAGTGTTTAAGGGAACGCAGTGTATTTTTATTCTGGAGCTTAGGTCATAAAGATTTATTGTCCGCCTAATGAGATGGGTAAACCTAAAATACAACACACTGAATATGCAGTAGAATCTGCACCACAAAGAAAATAAAGCTCCCTACAGCAAATACAATTATAACATCGCCTTGATTCAACTTTCCTTTTGTAAACTGAACTGACTTCTTGTCCTACCCCATTACTTCCAATAATTAGCTATAATCGAGTAATGAATTTCCCTCCAAAAGAAGACACACTAAATTTTTTTTTTTTCACTGTACACAACAGATTCTTGTTGGCATATGATGTTTATACCAACAAAATTCATATTGTGTGTAGAGTGGACTAGAGTAGAAAGTCTGGTTCAGCTGATCCTGTGGCCCTCCCTAACCCCAGACAAAACAGGCAACACTCAGATCTCTATTAAGTATGTTGTTTTCTACCAGACTCCCTCTCTTCTAAGACACAGAGAGTCTGACAGAAGCTTTTCATGGCTGGTTAACGCTGACTACCAGCTCTGTCCGTGCTACACCGAGCAGTGGTCAGTCAGTCTCCCTCGTGTCCACTGACATGTACACCCCCCATGTCGCACACCTTGTAACCACCCCTCATCCAGTCGTTATTCCCTCGCTCCTCTGTTGCATTTTTAATGCATATTTACTGTATGTACTTGTCTCTCTGGTTTCTTTGTGTTAAACAGCAGAAAAGGACTGTCAATGTCCCTAAATAAGCTCTATATCATAGTAATCGCATAGCTATCAGTTTATCCCAAGAAAAAGCGGGACTCAGTAGTAGTTGTTCAAGAATTAGAGGCCAAGGCATCTGTTCCGACTAACACGGCTGTGTGAGGCACCGAGGGGCCCGGTGCAGATTTCTCTGTCAAGTGAACTCATTCAAGACTGCAGATTTTGGCCCAACTGACGACTCGTTTACGGTCGAAAGCCCGGCAAGATTTTTCAGACATGTTTGATTTTGTCCTGACTGGGCTTGTGAAGGCGTGAAAGCAACCCAAGACCATGGCCAATGACAGTTTGGCTCCAGGGTTAACAGCACATCCTGAAAAACAATTCCCACTGCATAGCACTGCAGCACTTAATATAGTTCCTTAACTATCCTCCACCTCAGGAAAGTTTGAACATCTTAAATCAAGAAAAACAACTTTTTGAACAACAGCAGCATGTTAATCAATGATAACATCAGGTAGTGTGTGTGATTGCTCATCTTTGTGTGTATCTCTCCATCAGGACAGCTAACTCCAGGCTGTGCTTCTGAGACAAGATGTAATCCGTTTTGTAGTGTGCCCTTGCCAGCTAAGACCGAAATACAATACCAGAATGAACGAATTAACATCTGAATTTTAGTTCAGATGTGTTATTCTTCATATTTAACTCTGTATTCAAGAAAAATTACTGAAATGATGTCCCAGAATCTGTGTGACGAAGGATCTAAATGACCTCAATAATCAGTCTGTATTTATGAATCTATCTAACCAATAACACAGAGCTTTTATTATGATATTCTTTAAGCAATGAATTTGACAGTTCTCAATTATCCACCAGCAGTTGTGGGTCACTGCTGAGAAGTGCAGGTGGAGGAACACTGGCGGGAATGACCTGTGAGATATTATCTCATGTGGCAGCGTTCCAGCCAAACAACAATTTGGCTCTTTAAACACAGTTAGGTCTGGTGATCCTCAGGAAGTAATCTCACATTTACGGGAAGATCAATGGCCCTGCGCTCTGTCTCTAATTGGTTGGAAAACAGATCATCAGCTCATTTCAGAGCATCAAACATCGGGCACACTGGGATACTTTTCTTTATGATGAGACTTGCAAGATCCCCAAGACTCTTGAGACTACGTGTGTGAAACGGCAACGCAGATGGGTTTAATAATAATTCATAAAGAGTCAACAGAATCAGGACACACGAACTGACTGAGTAGTGCCATTCAATAATTATCTGTAGACTCCATTAATCTTTTTGTATGCTGTGAAATTGCAGGCAAAGCTAAAGCAACTATCAGCTATAAATGTTTCAGTCCAACACAAATTTCAGGCACCAGCCTCCAAATTCAACTGCAAAAAATATTAATATTAGTTAATTCAAAAACATAATCCAACACATCAGACAAAGAACCATATGTCCCACAGCAAGTTACTACTGAGCACATCACAAGGTTATTAAAAGGATAAAAGAGAACAAAATCTGTTACAGAAATGTGATTTTGTTTATTGCAACACTTTATTTACCATTTATAAATTGTATCTAAACAATTAATAAATTATTTGTAACCTGCTGTAATGTAGTTGTAGCAGATATAAGGACAATGTAAGTGTTTTAACAACTATAACTCCACATATAAATGATCCATTAACAGTTATGGACTGTTTGATAAGACAGTAAACCATAGTTGTGATCAAATATATATATAACCATGTCTTCAGTATAGTTTTAAATACATGTAAAACCTTGCCTGTGAATTATTTTAATTTTACTAGTTTTACTTAAGGGTAACACATCCTTTGTAAGTTTAAAATTAAAACTGTTAGGATATTTATACATATACGTGTACAGCAGGTTTAAGACTAGAAATTGATGTATGATATGAAGACATCATCTTTTATGATTAAGCCGATGTTATACCGTCTAATTAAGAGTCATTATCTGTTTATAGACCAGTGATTTATGTTTATAGTAGTTGTTAACAAAGACATTCATAGGGAGCTCCAGTCGCCCACCTTGTACCACATATCAATGCTGAGTCCTGTAGTGGACCGGGTTTGAATCCGATCCCCTGCCATTCCTGTCTCTCTCTACAGTCACTATCCAAAATAAAATAAAACACTAAACACAAGACCTTCATAAACATTTAAAAAATGTGTTTATATCTGTGTAGAACTACACTATTGTGTTTTATAAAACATTTATGAATCGTTTACTGCTGACTGCTATGGGGGGTAAAATAAAGTGTTACCTTTTTCTTTTTACTTTTCTCTAAAGGATGTATGAAAGTTACTGGGAGGTAGAGGAAGGCTGACTCATACATTGTATTCTATTAAAAAGCAAGGCCCTCCACAGCATTATTACTACATTTATTAGGACTCTCCCTCTGACTTACTGCAATACCATCCAACAAATATACTGTGAAAACACAGCTACCATCTATGTTTGAAGAAACTGCTGTGAAACAACACGGCCTATAAACAGCACTTAAGGAGTGAACTGGGCCCAGGCAGGTTCTGATGGACTTTCCACCACAGAATGAAAGAAGTTAGAAAATGTAGGAAAATTCCCAACAAATATAGACGACCATCCCTTGAGCAATGTTTATAGCAGTTGTTAACAAAGACAGAGCCCCAACCAGTAGGACGCGTACCACATATGAAGGCTGAGTTAAATCCGGCCGGGCCCTTTGCTGCATGTCATCCCCTCTCTGCCCTGCCATTCCTATCTCTCTCTAAAAAAATGTTTTTTTAAATTCCTTGAGCTACCAACAAATATGGACAACCCTCCCTGAATGAAAAAAAAAATACACACCTCCTCCTTTCTGAGCCCTCTATAATACTTTTCATACAATCCGTAATTGGTTCATTCTCCTTGTGAATTCCTCGAAAGCTCTAAAATCCTTAAAACCAATTTGGGAAAGACAAATGACTTTTTCATGGAGTTGCTCACCACCTCACGTCCACTCCAAAGCCACAACTTACAGATACAGCATCAGAAGTAGACTTGGCTTCATTTTGAAGGCGTCACAAGCA